ATGGTCACATCATAACATCATTCAGACTGGATGAAAACAAAATAAACTCTTTTCTTTGTGTCTTTGTTAGTCCTTCCACTGTTCCAACAATCTCCACCTCTGGTTTGGTCCCAATAAATCTTTAATTCATTGAGTTAGACCTGAAAAGAAACTGCTGTCGCTCTCTTCAGCAGTTGCACACAGAAGGACTTGCATGCACACACTCCCGCCTGTATAAACAACGAACATAGAGGTTCAGAGAACAACACACACAGAGGGAGAGTGACGTTTCTTAACTATAGCAAATTGTTATTTGTTGCTATATTAATGTTCAAAATGTCATAACCTTTAAACCCATTAAGCTCTTTAACACTTTTTCTGTTTACCTTTCGTTTTAAGGAGTCATGTCTGTGCTCAATATGAGCTGCCAACTCTGCAATCTGGTCAAACGAACACAGAGAGCATCCTGGCATCTGCTCATACTGCAGTATTTGACAGCAGGTTGAGAATCTGCCAGATTTGATTTACTTTGAAGTTTACTGGCTACTTCTCTCAACCAGTGGTGTAACATGAACCTGCCTGACGTGGATCTCAATGACTTACAATTATTATCCATAGATTTTCATTTAAAAAAACATTTTTAAAACTATTTATGGTTGCCATTTTCAGCAATAACCATTCAGTGTTTACATTCATTAATTACCTCACTGTTTAGTAGATTTTATTGTTATTTGGGTAGTTTGCCTTACTGATTAGGTTTAAATCACCTACTCACTCACGAGGGATTCACAGGAAACAATGCATGCATGAGTTTAAATTTAACTTTTTGTAAATCTGTAATTTACCAAATGCTCTCCTACAGCTGTATGAGAGGTGTGTTTGCTAATGCAAACAGAACATCTGTCTTTAAATCTGTCTTTTAACAATATTCACATGTTCATATTGAAAGAGTTATTGGTCTATGTAACTGTTCCTGTTGCCCATACTGGTCACAAAGTAATCAGTTTCAATTTAAGTGAGTCCCTGTTCTGTTTCTTAATGCACTCAGGTTCAGCTGAAGCTAATATGAAGCTTCAGCAATCTGAATTAGACAAATCAGATGGCTATCTTCCAAAATTACAGTCTTTCAGAGTCAAGTGACCTCTTTGTGGTTCTCTAGTCTGTGTCCCCTTGCTAAGATGCATTTGAGGGGACAGCAAGAGGGAATTAGGTACTAAGACTTTGGAAGATTCCTTCTTGATTTGGCTAATTCAGACAGCTGAAGGCTCATGTTAGCTTGTAGTCTGAACTGGACATCATTGAAATTGAAGAGATCTCTTTGCTGCTTAGGAACAACAGTTAAATCCACCAACAGCATTTTATGCCTTTATTATATAGCAAGATACACTGATCAGCCATAACATTATGACCATCAGGTTGCCCAGGTGATGGCTGATCGGTCTATAGGATAATGGTTCGATCACATGTAATGCTGTTTTTTCAACCACACTTGCGGCTAGCAAAAGAATCAAGCAGGACTCAACTGTGTTAGATTATAACTTTAACATTTTTTAATTAAAATATAATAACTTTCAGTATATGAGTGATACTTTCCTCTAGATGCTTGCAACACCTACCTTTATAATTACTATAATAATGACTGGTTAGGACCCAACAGTGCTGTACATTGTAGCTGAGGAAGGAAGTCCTTCCACACCAGACCTCTATAACAGAGGATGATCGACAGTCCTTAAATAGATGTGAAAATCAGAGAGAGAAGAAAGACTGCCATAAAAAACAATCAGGATAAAGACTCCATCGAGATCCAACAGAGAGTGTGATTTCTATGCATTGGTGTGTGTGTGTGTGTGTGTGTGTGTGGTGTGTGTGTGTGTGTGTGTGTGTGAGTGAGATGAAAGCGGGCTGTTATGTGATCAGCAACAGACTGTAACCACTTTGTTTGACATCTTTACTCTGCAGGCTTTCCCTTGCATCTCCACTGGAATCTACGGTCAGTGTCTGTTTTTGATGTTGTTGTTCCCTCCTGCAAACCCACGAACTAATTGCATGATTTTTTTCCATCTTGCTGTGTGGCTGTGTGTAGTGTGTGTGTGTGTTATAATTGTAATAGTTTTATTTCAAGGTTTTATGGGCTTCTTAGGGCTTTATATGAAAAACTGGTGAGTGAGAGAGAACAACATTCCATGTCCATACAACAACAGCAACAGTGTCTGTGTGCCTGTGTTTATACTCTGAGCACACTGGCTGCATTTTCAATCACATGCTTGTTTCCAGTATCAGTCTTTCTGTTTAACCAGAGTGCTGAGCCACCCGGGTGCCACTTGTCACATTATCTCCTGCAGCCCAGAGGTGGTTCTCAGATTAAGGCCTTGGATTAAGACCAGCAGATTAAGATAGATTAGGCTGGAGATTGAGTTAGATTGACTGTAATCCCCCTTCACACTGGCAGGAGAGAGAGTTAAGGATAGTGCTTAAACACTCCGCGGGGTGGGTTTGGGTGTGAGGGCTGGTTGTCGACACTTCTCCCCTGTTGCTAGATAGAGGAAAAGGCCAAAGCTGTGATTGACTCGTTGTGTTAACCGTGTCTTCCTCTGCGTCGGGCCTGTTTTTGAGTAAAGCTACAAACTACCTCAGAGCTTGTTGTCGAGCGCTGAAAACCAAATACATTTAGATTCAGTTGAGCAACCGAAGGAGGACTTCAAGGTAGTGCGCAGGTGTTTTCAATCAACCTGGCTGATTAAACCTGGTTACAGTTTAGTGGGAAGACCAATGCTGGGAATTACATAAGGTCACTTCACTCAATGTACTAATAAAGATAGTAAATATGTTTTGCAGGTAATTGCTGCCTTGATTATGTTCAGTAGGAACATTTCATTTCTCTGGGAAGTGTTGTGTGCTTGTTGTAGCAAATGATCAGAATGGATGCTGTGCAGGGCTTTAAAGTTTATTCATTTGAAATATGCTTATTCATGATGAAAACAACTACTTGACTAACATTAGTTATGGAAATGTCTGTTATTTATATCACGCAGTAAATGTACATTACATCCCTCGTAGTGTGAATGCTGCATGTGTGTATCTTTTGTCTTGATGCTGAAACATTGTTCAGTGATAATTTGCACTCTCATGTATTCCCCCTACGTTTACATTATGAGCCCTCTCTCCTGATGTATGGAATAATTACTGCATAATCACACTCCATGTGTTTGTTTGGCCAGATGATGATTTTTACTGCCTTTGTGTTGCGTTTGCAGCAGTGGGGATAATTTTCCTGCATTGAAAGGTCTCTGACCGCTGAATGAATATAGAAGAAGCACAGTAGTTTTTCTCCATCTGTCTCCTCGTAACCAACAAGTGTGCTGTGCCTGCATCTCGCCGGAATAGGCGAGTCGGGAATGAGAGGAAGTGAGAAAACACAAAACATGGAGTGTTAGAATAGTGGAGAGAAGAACACATACCTGTCGTGGAGAAAACAAAAAAACAGAGCAGACAGCGACCTAATGCAAACACACAGATGTGTCACTGCACCTGTTCTTGTAAATTGTGTGGTTATTTTTGCTTTTTTGTGTGTGATGGTACAGGATATCCACCTGAGCAGGCTGTGCACGAGGCGTTAGCAACTGTGAGGGAGTATCTGGATGAACATCATGACAAGGTGTGTATGTTTGTGTGTTTGTGTGTGTGATTGGCAATTTTTCCCTACCATTTCCTCTAGGTATTATTCCTTTCACAGCTGTTGTTTTTGTTTTCTGGTGGGAGCGGGGAGAAGGGTGTATTGAGAAAACACATACATGCACATTGTGACACGCACGCACGCACACACACTCACACACACACGCACACACTGTGACACATAAACACACACACACAAACATACATTTAAAACACACACGCCCAAGCTCTGGCTCTCATGCTCATGGCCAAGTCTGCGTTTTAATTGGCTCCTTGCGGGACTAAACCTGACTAACACAAACACACACACACACACACGCACACACACACTTTCTCTCCGGAGAAACAGCAAGCGGAGAAAAGACAAAATGATGGAATAGATGACTGGAGGGGAGGGAGGGAGGGAGGGAGAGAGAGAAGGGGGTGATGGGGAACAAAAAGGAAACTTTCCAATCACTCGTTGCATGCTCTAAACTCTCCTCCTGTCTTCGTTCTTTACTTTCCAGGTCTCCACCTACTCCTTTTTTCAATCTTTCTTTCCCTCTCTAACCGCTGTGCTGTATCACCTCCCAGAGAGGGTGTTGACGATGTTATTGTTAGCGCTCAAGTCTCCAGAGTCTCTGTGGCAATACCAGCCGACAGATGCCGTCAGCCGCTCGAGTTCAACAAACGAACATTACATGTCTCACCATAGAGGACAACAGTCAACAAGACTTAAATGGCTGAAAATAAGACCAGAAAGCCAAAGCAACAAGGCACTAATTTACATCCTGCCCAGAAATGGTTCCACTGTGTGTTTTTTAATAGGGGGAAATGTTTTATTGTGAACAAATGAGAAGGAGTTTATTTGCATACATATAAAGTAGGAATGTGCACCGGAGGAAACTGGGTTTATTCTTTAATTGAACAGCCTCCATTTTAAATTTTTTACAGTGCGTTTTGTTGGGCTTGCTCTGGCTTGGAGTGCAGTAATGTAATGTAGAAAATGAAATTGAAAATTATAGACACAGTAACAAATGGACTCAAGAAACTGGGCAATGTGCCAACACTCTGCATCAAGTGTAATAATAAAAACATGAATCATTTATTCGTAAAACACAGAAAGAAAGCAATACCCAAGGCATTTTCATAGTTTTACAAATTACATTCAGAGTCGACCAGAAAGTTTAAACAAAACTGTAGTTACAGTAGGACATTTGAGAAAATGATCTACTCCACAAGGGCCATTTACTAGCTGTTCTGGGGCTTTCGATCTTCTGTTTCTCCAATTGTCATGGAATTCAGTCCATCCCCCTTAGTTACCGTTGCTATGCCTGTTAAGCACATAGACAACCGAAGTGAAACCAGGAGGTAAGAAAACCTCATTCAAAAATCACACTGACATTTGTAGCAACACCAATAACTAAAAATAAAGCTTTGGACAGTTCCTCTCTCAACAGTGTGGCGTGTGACTCGATTCATATGTCTACGGAATGGAAATCTAATATGTTTTATAGGTTTTATTAACAGTCTTAAACAAACACTGTTTCCCAGGAGCCCTAGACATAAGTATGATAAAGAAAACTGTAAGATCAAACTGTTTCATTCTAACATAACCCAGTTTGACTGCTTAGCTTACATTTTTATGATCATCTTTTTAGATATAGCCATTTTCATTGAATGTATAAAATTCTCTAACTCGAACTAACTCTGGCTTTTTAAGTAGGCTACTGCTGAATTTCTAAGGTAATTACTGTGTCCCCAAAAGCTCTCAGTTCCAGCTTATGTTATGTAGCGGATCACACAGTCATAAACACACAATCCAAGGTTATATTTAATAAATTCACTGCTACAGATGTCGCACTAGAGCACCAGCAGCTTAGACCAAAACAATGGGAACTACCACCGACCAGACTCCATTAATAAAACCATTAATTTTACCCAACACACTTCAAATTGGACAGATGCAAAATAAAACTCAACAAAACTGTTTTGTAAGTCCACTATTCCAACAGTCACCAAAAATGAATCCTAATTCACTGAATTAGATGAGAAAATAGGCTGACGTTTAATGATTGTTTATTCTTCGGGACAAATGCGCCTGTCAAAGTATGTCTACTAAAAGTGCCTTCTCTGCAGCTGACAGGCTCAGATTGTTTGTATGTCTGACAACATCATGGAAAGGATCCTACAGAGATAGACATTTGTTTCACCAGAAACAGCCGTAATATCGCTATCACTCGCCACCAGACTACATCATTACATCATAACTTCATTCAAAGTGGACACAAAATAAAACTCAGTAATACGGTCTTTGTTATGCAAACAGCAGTCGCTCAGCTCAGGTGGATACGGAGGGACTCACATGCACTAAAATGCTCACCGTTCAGATCGGATTTGTAAACAAAGCACAGAGAGGCTGCGACAGCAACACAGGCAAAGGGGATGTGATGTCATTCTCTTCTCAGGACACGATTACTCCACTATATAATTTACATAGAAAACAGTTGTTTGCTGCTATATTAATGTTTTAAATCTCATATCTTTAACATTCAAGGCTAAAAAAGACACCAAATTTTGTAAGCTAACCTATGATTAGACAATCGCTGTTCGAGGGAGGAGTTTAGCAAACAGTCAACTGTAAATGTTTGAACATTGAACATAACCTTTCAACTTCAGTGGCCAGCAGAGATGAGGCAAGATAACTTTCTGTCTGCATTCATTTGCTGTAGTTTCTTTGATATACAGCCTCTATGTTGTTGGATAGTGACACTTTTTCTTTAATAGGAACATTTGACATGAAACAGTGGCTGAGGTTGTTCACATCCAGGCATCAGTCTGTATCGTACACATTGGTTTGCACATTTTAAAATTCAACTAATATAAGACATATTATATACGACAAGAGTTACATTTTAATATACATGAAACCACAATAAACAAAAGTTTGTGCAGCAGAGACAGGAAGCTGAGAGCTTACACAAAGACCTCTCTTTAAAGCTCATATTCAGACTTGATGTACAGAGTCACATTTCCTATATTCCTCAGTATGGACACACTATAAAAACCTTAAAGTTGAAGGACAGGACTTCATTATTTCATTTCAGACCGAGTGTGCTTGAGTACAGGGCCAACGCGAGTCACTGTTGCAATACTTACAGACAACAATGTACAAGAACATACAGGGAAATTAACTCTGAAAATGAATTGAATTTATTTTCATTTATCAAATGCAAAATGAAAAATAGTAAAAATGTACAGTATCAAATGTACACTAATTATTGAAGGAAGGTTAGGCAAGTTTAAATTGGGATGTGTATAAAGTCCATTAGTACTGGTGTATTCTCCACAACAGGTCAGTGAGCTGAAATCCGTACAGGAAAAATAAACTTTACTGCAGACAGATTTTCTGTTTTTTAGAAGGGAATATTTCCAGGCTCTGTGTTTTCCTTACAGACAGGCAGTTCTGAGAGAGCCCATTACGTTCACTTGATGTTATTGTTAGCTTTGGAATCTCCAGGGTCCCTGTTGCAATAGTATCAAAATGAGCTCCCCACTGTTTTCTGGAGGCCATTTTGCATCTCTCCTCGCAAACATTTTACTTTAATTTGAATGAGTGAGGTTACAAAATGGCGCAAGTGGAGGCAACTCAGTGTGGAGGTTAGAGATTTTGAACCCTAGCCCAGGGGATGTAGTTACTTACCGCACATTTCCATATCTTCCCTTTTTGCCTCCATTTAAATCCGGGCAAGTGATGGTAATTGTGCAACAAGCAGGGACTGGAAAACACAGGCTGCGGGCTAGCAGGCAGCTGAAATGTCTCTGTTTGAAAGCAAAGAGACTTAAACTCCCACACCAGACACAAAGTGATAGAAACAGCCTGGCTATGAATTGCACTGCCTTGCCCCAAAACGGAAAGATCAAAACCTTTGTAGAGACATTAGGTTGGTAATAATGTTTGTCAGAGTCTGAGAAATAAGAGCACACAGTGGAGCTTCTATTCCTGGAAGCATCTTTAGCTACAGTAACTTTAATCACCAGGCTACATATAGTGCTGTGTACTGTACTATACTGTAGGTCCAGCTTTACAGAATATAATGTGGATATTATAGACTGCCGAGCCAGAATCTAAAGAACACAAGAGCACAGGGCATAAAGATTGTTTATGGTTGTGAAATAGCTGCACTCACTCGGCCAGTGTCTTAATATTATTTGAAATCTATTATGTTTAAGGCTTTATGTGCTCTGTATGTGTGTGAGTGTAGTGGTGAGTCTGGATGGAGTTGACTCGTGTTTCTCACACAGTAATGAGAGAAACTGAGGGCCTGGTGTCAAACACACACACACTCAATATAACACTCAGGGGCATGCACAAAAACAGACAAAGTTACTTTTCTCTTCATAGAAACAAACACATACAATAGCAGTACATATAGACCCACACAGGACCTTCTCTTCTCTCTAACCTCTTCCTTTCTCTTTCTCTTTCTCACACACAC